GCCATTTTCTCTGACCCACCTTCATTTTCCTCATCTATAAGGTGGAATGTTGTTGTTGTTGTTGTTGCTGCTGTTATGTGCCATTGAGTCACCTGAGACTCATAGCGAGCCTATGTACAACAGCCCTAAACCCTACTCTGTCCTGTGCCAATCTCACTGTCTCTGACACACCTACCCTCATTACCCCAGTCACTGAATCAATCCACCTCTCCTGCACTGTCCCTCCACCCTCCCAAGCACGACGTCCCTCTCCTAGGACTGGTCCCTCCTTGCAACATGTCCAAAGTGTGTCAGACGGAGCTTCAAAATCCTTGCCTCCAAGGAGAAGTTTGATTTAACCCTCTCAAAGAGAAACCTGTTTGTTTTCTTAGCAGTCCAAAGTATATTCAATGATCTTCTCCAGCACCACAGCTCAAAGGCATCAATTCTCATTCTATCCTCCCTGGTCATTGCCCAGCTCTCTGATGCATAGCAAGTGATTGCAAAGACCATGAGCTGTATCAGGCACACCTTATTCTCCAGAGTGACACCCTTGCTCTCAGTACTCTGGAGAGGGTGGAAGACTAATCATGAGCGCACTTGCGCGCACGCTCACACACACACACACACACACACACACACACACACACCCTGTATTACTCTTGAGAGCACCAGCTTCCTGAGATCAAAGACATAAAAGTTCAAAACCCTTATCATATTTTCTGACTTAATGTGACACTCAGAATTAGAAGGAGTGGTCTTAGAACGTCCACACAGGCTGGGATTGAGCCAGTCCTCGTAGGACTGTCCACAGGACATCAAGTTGATGCCTGACTGAGGTGTTCAAACCAGCTTTGAGGCAGCAAGAGGCTTCCAGCAGTTAAGCCATCCGTAACAATTGTGTCTCCAAGAAGACCCTGGAGTCTTCTTATGCCCTGGAGGCATAAGGAGAAGAAAAACTCAGGGATGCTTAGTTTAACATCTCTTTTCTCTTTGCTTACCCTTCCAACTCATACCTCACTTTCCTCTTTAACGGATTCCTTTCCCATCTGGACTGGAAGTCCTATGTCTGTCTCAATTTGCAGTCGTGCAAACCACACGGCATTTCTCTGAGAGGTCAGGTTTTCATGCATGCCAAACAAGAATGTTCTTCAGCATCACATGCTTTCTAGGGCTTCTAATACCCCACCCCCACTCCACAACCACCTTCCTCCCAGACCTCAGTCTAGAGAGATGGGTTTTCCATTCCCTACCAGGATCACACAGTGAGATGATAATCACCAGGTCATCTGAGGTGAGATGGTCTGCTGAAGACTGTCTGTCTGCACGACTCTAGGCTTTTAAGCCACTACCAGAAGACGATCATATCCAAAAACATTTGGAACAATATGTCAACAGAGAACTGCCAGGTGTGCAGGCTGGATTTAGAAGAGGTCATGGTACTAGGGATATTATAACTAATGTAAAATGGATCTTGGCAGAAAGCAAAGAATACCAGAAGAATATCTATCTGTGCTTCATTGACTATGCAAAGGCTTTTGACTGTGTGGATCACAATAAGCTGTGGCTGACTCTGAAAAGAATGGGAATCCCAGAACATTTGATCGTGCTAATGCGAAACCTACACTTGGACCAATAGGCAGTCATCAGAACAGAGCAGGGAGACACCGGATGGTTCAAAATCAAGAAAGGGGTCATTCAGGAATGTATTTTGTCTCCATACCTTTTCAATCTGTATGCAGAACAGATCATCCGAGACGCTGGGCTGTAGGAGGAGGAATGTGGCACTAGGATTGGTGGAAGAATCATCAACAACCTGCGTTATGCAGATGACACAACCCTGCTTGCTGAAACTGAGGAGGACCTGAAGTGCTTGCTACAGAAGGTCAAGGACTTCAGTCTTCAATATGGATTGAAGCTCAATATCAAGAAAACAAAGATTCTCGCCACTGGGCCAATTGGCAGCATCAGTATGGATGGTGAAGAGATTGAAATACTTAACAGTTTTAGTTTGCTTGGCTCCACAGTCAACACTCTTGGTAACAGCATCCAGGAAATCAAGAGACAAATTGCATTGGCAAACTCAGCTGTGAGGGACCTCTCAAGAGGACTGAAGAGCAATGATGTCAGGCTGGAGACTAAGGTGCGCCTGATCCAGGCTACAGTCTTTGCAATTACATGCTATGCATCAGAGAGTTGGACAGTGAATAGGGATAATAGAAAGAGAATTGACGCCTTTGAGCTGTGGTGCTGGAGAAAAGTGTATACCATGGACTGCTAGGAGAACAAACAGGTTTGTCCTGGAGAGGGTGAAGCCAGAATGTTCCCTGAAGTCAAGGATTCTGAAGCTTCGTCTGACATACTTTGGGCCTTTTGCAAGGAGGGACTGGTCCTTGGAGAGGGACATCATGTTTGGGAGAGTGGAGGGACGGCGCAGGAGAGGAAGACCCTCGATGAGATGGATCGATTCTGTGAGTGGAGTGGTGGGAATGAGTGTGTTTGAGACAGCGAGGTTGGCACAGGATAGAATGGTGTTTAGGGCTCTTGTACATAGGATCGCTATGAGTCGCAAAAGACTCGATGGCACATAACAACAAACGAGAAGACGAGACTAGCACTTGTATTTTCTCACTCAGGGGCCCCTTTAAAGAACTTTTAGTAATATTTTCCCCCCAACAAGAACTACATTCAGTTGGGTAAGAAAAAGCAGACCCCCATGAAATTGATCTATAATCTGCATGTGCCCAGGTGGCTACTACTACAGTTGTTGCTATGAGCCATCAAGTCAACTGCAAATCTTCACAACAGAGCTGAACCTGCTCCTATCCTGTGCCATCCTTACCATCTCTGATACACTTGAACTTGAACCTGTGTTACGGTCATCACATCAGTCAATCTTGTTGAAGATCTTATTCTATGCTGACTTTCCACCTTTCCAAACAAGATGTCCTTCTCTAAGGATTGATCCCTTCTAACAATCTACCTGAAATGTGTGAGATAAAACCTTACCATCTTTGCTTCCAAGGAGCACCCTGGCCACACTTTCTCAAAGATACCTTTGTTTGTTCTTTTGGCAGTCCATGATATTCACACTCTTCTTCAACACCACAACTCAAAGGCATCGATTCTTCTGCCATCCTTAGTCATCATCTAATCTTCAGACGCATAATAAGTGATCAAAAATACTAGGACTAGTACAGTTGTTGTTGTTGTTAGATGCTATCGAGTCAAGTACAACTCATAGCTACCCTTTGAACAACACATCTGAATCCTGTCCTATCCTGTGCCATCCTTATACTTCCTGACACATTAAAGCCCATTTCTGCAGTTATCATGTCAGTCTACACGGTTGAGGGTCTTCCTCTCCTTCGCCAATCCTCTGTCTTTCTGAACATCAAGTCCCTCTCTGAGGAATAGCCCCTTCTAGCAACATGTCCAAAGTATTTGAAGCAAAATTTTATCTTCTTTGCCTCCAAAGTGCAACAGTGCACTCTGGTGCACTTTCTCCAAGACATCTCTGTTTGTTTTTTCGGCAGTCCATGGGATGTTCAGCACTCTTCTCCAACATTACAGCTCAAATGCATCAATTCTTCTCCTGTCATCCTTATTCACTGTTCAGCTCTCAGAGGCAAAGCAAGTGACTGAAGACCATGGCCTGAATCAGACACATCTTAGTTTGAAGATGAATCAGACTGCCTCTTGTTGAAGCACTTAGATTCTGAGAGGTAGGTCATTTTCATTTGAATAACAGTCAGTTGAGTGCTGTTGGGTCTTTTTTATTTAATAAACAGTCAGTTGTGGGTTGTTTGATCTTTTTATTTAATTAAGTCAATGGTGGGCATCAAGTCTTTTATTTGAGCCAATTAGGCCTTGGTGGGTGGGCCTTTGTGATTAGAAGTTGGTTGGAGCCTGCCTGAGAGCTTCTTATTTGAAAGAGTTGGATTCTGGAAAGTGAAAACTAATTTCTATTGTTGTTTACCATCGAGTTGGAACCAACCTCCAGCAGAACCTCCAGCGGGTTTTCAGACACAATTAATCCTATGGGAGGAGATTGTCCATCCTTTTCCTGCAGAGCAGCTGGTGGTGGCCTCAAACTGTGGGCCTTTGGGATTACAGCTTAACTTCTTGCCATGAGGCCAAACTAATTGTCTGTTTGTTGTGTTTAGGGAAAACATTGTTCTAATTGGTACAGCACTTGTCTGTCAGTTTGCTGTAGTGAGATAATAGGTCCGTTGCTGTGATGATACTGAAAGCTGTACCACTGGTGTGTCAAATGCTACAAGGGTGGCCATTGCAATAGATTTCCTTTATTGAGCTCTTGCTATATTTTAAGTATTTGTCCAGAACTTTAACCTTTATTGTCTGATTTGACCCAATGGTTTCAAGTCAGTTCTGACTCATTGTGCCCTTCTATCTAGTTTCTAAGACTATGAAGAGATTATTCATCTTTCTCCCAAGAAGTGGCCAATGGGTTTTAACTGCTGACCTTTCTGCTATAAGCACAATCTGCAACACAACCTGCCAATAGAACTCCTTATTATCTCATTTAGTACCTAGATCACCTATTGTCCAAGATTTTTTTTAAGAGAAGCTCATGATGCTGAAATAGGCATTCCTGAAGAGAGGGACAACATTAATCCTGTTATGTGGGTACACAGTATATCTTTGTTCTCAAGAAAATAGATATTATTCCCACTTGACAATGAAAATGAGTATAAATTAAGTGACCCACCCAAAGTGACAAAGCCAACCACTTACAAGGGCCTACACCCCAACTTTTCAATTAGTCCAGTTCTCTTTCCAAATATTATTTTGTGTTTCCTCTATTTACCTTCTATACTTTCTACTGCCCCTAATCTTTTTCTCCTTCCCCAGAGAGAAAAATGGTGGCTGAAAAGAGATCTCAGAACTATGACAGTAAAGACTGCATGGTTACAGAGGTAGTGAGTGATGTTTGGGAAGTCTCGTGACATTAGTCGCAAATAGACGTCCGATTCCCCCCAGCCTCCCCGTTGGAGTACCTTATGATTTCTGTAGAAGGGATCCAAGTCTTCCAGGGGCTTTCCTATGAGCTCACGGGGAATGTTACCATAGAGTTTAGGCAACTTCCTGGAGACTTTTAGGTCAAGCTGAGGTCGAAGCTCTGGTTCCGAGGCTCCCTTATCTTTGGACTTCTTTTTCTCTTTTTGGATGGCAATCCGTTTATCAATTGCATCCAGAGAGTCAGGGGTGAAGGGGCGGAAATTCCGCACATCTGGAAAGATGACCGAGTAGAACTTGTCGTCCATCTTCACCCTTGGGATTAAAACAAACAGTTCCTGAGAGATCTTCCTTAAGGTTGCTACCCTCACAGAAAGATATTGACACGGATTAACTTTTATCTCCCCAAAATACAGGTATTTAATAACACAGGGTGGAGGCTATGTAACCAGTCCTCATTATCTGATAAACCAAATAGTTTTAAGTGGAATGTAACACCCCTTAGGCCCATTACAGCTCTAGTCTGATGTAAAGGGCATTTACCTAGAATGTGGCCTACAATACCTTTTATCTCACTAGAGATAAAGGGAAGGAAAATGAACTAAGGATGAGTGAGGGGAATGAGAAACCTCAGTAATACCAAGAAAGACTCACCAGGAACAGAGTGAATCTTTTTGGGCTTAGGTCTCTGAAAGAAATCTCTTTGACATTGAGGAAGGCCAAGACACAAGGGCCTCTCCAAGAAATGCCCTGGGCCATCCCCTAGAGCTGGAACCCTTAATTTGGACCTCTAGTTTCTATCAGTTAAGAAAATAAATTTCACTTGTGGCATCTCTGTTATAGCAGGGCAAGATAACTAAGATAGGAGCCCTGGGGTCTACAAGAGTTGAGACTAGGATGAGGAGACTTGAGAGTTCATTGGTTTAGCGATGGGCCAGACGCCACCACCACTGTAGAGAGAACAAGAACTTTGGGTACAGATAAGACCAAAGCAGGACATTATTCCTAGAAGACCTTGTTGATAGGTAGAAAATTGAGTTCAGGAACAAGTTGATGGAGGACATCTCATCTCTAAAATTGATACTCAAGCAGCAAGGAAGACAAGAAGGCCGAGTTAGTTGAATCCTGAAGTGCGGTCTGCAAATGGTAGACAAGTAGACACAAGGTGAACAGGAGGAGAAAGAATAAGGAATCAAGTAGTCATCGTAGTGAGTTGCAAAATCTAGACAATGAACATGCGTATCTTTGCTCAGCAGAGTCTGCAATTACCAGCAAAAGACCAGACACACTCTAACACTGCATGAGAAATTCTTTACTCACATAGAGAGGAGACAGAAAGGAGTCGACTTCACTAGTGGGTCAGTGAAAGAGAAGACCCTTACTAGATAGACTGACAGTGTGACAGCAGCAATAGACTTAAACCAGTGGAGACTGTAAAGATAACACCAGATTGAGCAAAGTGTCAATCTGTTGTGCAGAGGACACTTACGGAGTCAGAGGCAACTCAATAGCATCTAACAACAAGTGAGAACCATTGTCTCACAACCAAAAAATTCACCCCATCTGTGACTGGGGCAGCCCAGCTATTCTGTGTTCACCGTGGTTGTGCTACAGTCCAAAAGACTCTGTTCTCACCACTGGAACAGATACAGACGGCACCGTATGGCTTGTATGTGAGCAAGAGACAGAGGAAGTAACTGCATAACAAGAACAAGGGAAAAGGAATCTCTAATAGGAAGAAAGAACTGGGAGACAAAAGGAAATTCAGTGCCTCCTCTCCTTGCCACAGAATGCTCTGGGCCCAAGGGCTTTAGTTAAGTAGTCTGGATGTGAAGAATAAAGAAAGTCCATCCCACAAACAATGTCACCTCACATTTGGTCACCGAAACTCTTCAAATGCATTGGACTCAGAACAAAAGAACCATAAGTACAAGAATGGAAATTTATGCTAGCACCTACAATCCTACGTCAGGCCTCTTCTAGAGCCCAAATAGCAAAAAGAAACCCAAAGAAAGCAGAAAGGATTTACCAGAGTTAACAGGATAACACTAAGTTAGTAAGACAGCACTCCTGTGGAATAGTAGCCCTCTCAGCCCGTCTCTGACAATCTCTTCTGCAAGGATATTTCTCAACAACCCCAGAAGTGCAACTAACTTATCGTCACCAGATTGACTCCAGCTCACAGTGGGGCCCTGTGTGTGTATCAGAGAACAACTGTATTCTATAGGGTTTTTAGTGACTTGTCATCTTCTTGTCGGTTTGTTTCTTTTTAAGTCGACCATGAGGCCTTCTTGCCAAGATGACTCCAGGTAGAAGTCAGCCTCTCAGTAGACAAGTGTGTTAACTATTTCACACAAGGACTCCAGAGTTAAAGCTAGGCACAGAAAAACAAGCTACCTTCAAGTTGAATGCCTCAATCCTCGATGCCAAACATCCTCACCCTTTCTCACTTCCTGAATTCCACTCCCAACTTAACTCTCCAACCATCCTCAGGAATTGCAGTGGGAAATCTAACACAGCATTGACCGTTCATCTGGCAAATATGTATCCACTGTCTGTTCTAAGCATGACACTGGAGCCTAATGGTGAAAAACTTCCATCTCTCTCCTCTTAGCACTGCGATTACTGTTTTTGTTTACTCTACAAGCCTGTCTCTTGTTTAGGTGAAAGTTGAGCCCTAAGGATGAGTTTTGTTGTAGATTCCAAAGAGTGACTAAGGTCATAACCAGGGCATTCTGCCAGTTTCTATCAGACCCGTAAGCCTGGCCACTTTTTCTTTTTGTTTTGTTTTTTATAATTGAATTTTAATGAAAGTTTACAGAGACTTTGAATTTCCATTCACTTATTGATGTACTTTTTTCCCTGTCCAACCTCCCCCCAGTTCGTTCTTCTCTTTGAAAAGTAAAAGAAAAATTCTTTCATTGTTATACAATACCTTCCCCCCAAGCCCACTCCACTATGCAGCCTTCGTTCTGGACTCTTGTCATGACAATAATACCCAATCAAATATCCCTTTCAAACAGGTCTCTCCTTCATCTGTTTTATGCTTTTGAGGTGTCTTGGAGAACACAGATGAAAGACAGAAAACGAAGTGATGTAAGTGGTTTTATACAGAGAATAGTAGAGGATGTTGAGTCTGCACGTAATGTTGTTGCTGTGTACCATCAAGTTGGAACCATCCACAGATGACCCTCCAGCAAGTTTTCATGCCATAAGTCATGCAGGAGAAGATTGTCCCTCTTTCTCTCATGAAGCAGATGATGGATTTGAACCATGTGCCTTTGGGCTGGCAGCACAACTCCTCACCCACGAGACCACCAGAGCTCCCTGGGTCTGCATATAGGAGAGTCAATATAGCATTGGTGAGGTAGGGGTGGAGAAGTACAATCTCAGTGATGGACTCCCAAAGCTTTGATTTTAAGTCGCTGCCTAAAGGAGTGATAAGAATTAGACAAGAAAAGAGGGAGCATTAGGCATTACAAGGGACGTAAATAGCATGAACAGAGTCCCCTCAGCTGGGAAAGAAGAGGGGACCCATCAGTCAGTCCTGTTTGCTAGGAATGGAGATTTTCCAGAGTGGAATGGCCAGATAGGATGCCGCTAAGAGAAGGAGAGCATGCAGGAATTTTTAAATCCTTCATAAGGATCATGGAGAGCTGATAAAGAGTTTGATAGTTGTTATTATTATTACTATGATTATGGAGACATAAAACTATCAGGCTGCTTTTTTGGCCCCCAAAGATCCCTCTATCTCTGGTGAGAATGGATAGATTTGGAGCATGGAGTGAAGGAGCTGGGGAGACTGAAAAAAGAAAGATGAATCTGAACCCTATTACAGGAATTCAAACCACCGATGAAGACCTAATTGAGTGGATAAAGTCAAGTGGATGGATTTGGTAACTTCTTAAGAAATGGTCTTGATGAGTAATTAATCGGAAAGGTGGGATTTGATGGGCAAATACAGCCAAGGTTTCTGACGTAGGCAGCACAGTCAACAAAGGTATCCTTTCCTGAGACAGAGAGCAAAAGGGAAGCTCTGAGGGTGGGGGGGGGAGAAATAATGCTAAAAACACATTGGAAATTCAAGCTACTTGTACATTGAAAAAAATGACTGAAAGAATCCAATAAACGTTGATAAAATTATAATCAGGAAAATGGAATTTAAAAATACAGATCACACACATACAATTAAGGAAATAAAGTATTAATATAGCAGATCCTATGTTGTTGTTGATTGTCTTTGATTTGAGCACGATTCATAGCGACCCTATGAACAAAAGGCCTGAAGCCCCTCTACAACTATCGGCATTTATCAAAGTTCGTAGAGTTTCTGGAGGTATGCTGTTTAGGAAACAGATCCTATAGTTGGTAAAGTTTTAAAAGATCCAAAACTTTATTGTCAACTTAGAATATAATCCTGAAAAATATTATGTGTGGAAAATATGTTGCATTGCCTTGAAAATTGATGGAATCATTCAGTTGTCTTAGTACAATTATCTCATATACCTAACTAACAATCAGAGCTCTGGTGGTGTAGTATATAAAGATTAGCAGTTCAAATCCATTCGCTGCTCCTTGGGAGAAAGATGGGCAGTCTTCTTTTTTTAAAAATTTTTTAATTATTATTTTTGTGTGTGTATGTGTGTGTACCGTCAAATCGGATCTGATTGGTACAGGAGGAGATTGTCCCTCCTTCTCCAGCAGAGCATCTGGTGGACTCAAACCATGTACCTCTGGAATGGCAGTGCAGCTTCTTGTCACTAGGCCACCAGAAAGCCCTCGATGGGCAGTCTTCTCTGGTGAAGATTCAAAGTTGCAGGAACCAGATGGAACGATAAATGACTTGAAGGCAGTGAGTTAGGAAACAACCAAGCATGATGGAAAAATTTCAGCCACTAAAGTATCATTCCTTAGGGAGCTCTGTTGGCTTAGTGGTAAAGAATTGTGCTGTCAAAGCAAAATTAGACAGTTCTAATCCATCAGCTGCTCTGAAGGAGAAAGATAGGCAATTCCTCTATGTGATTTACTGCCTCTGAAAACCTGCTTGAGAGTCAGCTATGGGTCAGTTCTGAATCAATGGTAAACAGCAACAAACAAATGATTCTTCAGAGATATTTATTTGACTATTTGTTTTCAAAGAATGAAAAGAAAACTCAGGCAAAGCAGACATGCAGAATCCAAGACTTTGTGTATTTAGGCCAAGGATGACAACAGTTTTCAAAATCGAGCTTACTGGATCAGCTTAAAAAGAATTGTTGGGTTTTGTTTGTTGTTTTTTTTTTTTTTTAGAAGTTAAAGTGTTTTGCAG